CCACTCGTGTTCCACAATTGCTTTTTGGCACTTTCTCTTTGCCGTGTGCTCTCTTCGAGGTTTCACAGTAATGCTCCGGCCTTGCGTTCACTTCCCCAATTTCTCTCGTATCCACCCACTTCCTTCGTTTACAGCCCGCTCGCTCTCTCTCTCTCTCTCTCTCTCTCTCTCCCTCTCTATCTCTTTCGCCCTCTCTGTCTGCACTTTCCACACACACTCACGCACACAACCTTTCAGGCGGCTACGGCAGCGGCGGCGTTTTCTCGTTGTATTCCTTTTGCGCCCAAGTTCGTGCGAATCCGCTTTATGTCCACATTCGCTTCCGTACAACGAAGTTTAGCGAAAAAACGCGAAAACACGTGAAAACAAAATCACTTTAAAGTCTATTTTTAGGCGCTTGTCAAACTCTTCAATTTATATTTTTTTCACTTTTATTTTGTCATTGTTTTCGTATTTGCCTTGTGTTTTTTTTTTTTCCTTTTTCTCTTCTCCTTTCGCCAATTTTGTTTTCTTTGGCTTGCTTTCGTTCGCTGCTCCTGGCCGCTGCCGTTGGCCGCCTGCCCCCACAAATTATACAATCGAAGCGAATAATTTGCGGCTTTCGCTTTATTTTCGCTTTTATGTTGCTTGAATTTATATTTTTATTGCACTCGCGTTCCTTTTCGCACGAATTTCTCGAGTTAAGCGAAAATTGCGTTCGCTGCGATTTATTGCACAATTTGGAAGCCAGTCGATTCTGCGTTTCGTATTCGCTGCTGTTCGCTCCGTGTGGCAGAGTCAAAGTGTTGTCGTTTACTCACGAGCTGCTGGACGCTGGCTGCGATGCCAAGCCATGAATTTTTCATGAATCCTTATTAGAGATTTTTCGCCCCCGTCTCGTTGAGATTGCTGCGCGCACAGCAGCTCGAATCGAGAGAGCGTAGGATGATTTGTTTGCGGGTTAGGGGCGGCGGGCTGTGTGCGGCGGTTCTGTGTCGAGATGGGAAGCTAACAGAGAGTACGCAAGACATTTGCTTGGTTATTGCCGCATAGAATATTTCTTGAAATATTACTTTGGTTGTGTTTTTCTTTTGGGTGTGGGGGTGCTGTGCTTTCTGCTGGGGGTTGGTTGGGGACTGGGGGTTGCTTTAACTGTTTATTTTATGCTCACGTTCTTCATTGCACGCTGCTTCGCATCACGATTTGACATTTACTTTGGCTGCCGCTCTCTTCTCGCAGTGTTGCACAGCGCAGGCGCCTAATGGAAAATACCGCCAACAGAGGGCGCCAGCTGTGTGCTGGTTGCTGTCCTGGCTAACTCGATAGTTTCTAGCGGCAGCAAACAACATCCGTTAGTAAAACTTTCAACCACTGTGGTTAATAAGAAATTTTAACACTTCTTTAAGGCCTACCACACGTAGAAACTTACACGATCTTATCTAGCCGGCGTCTTTTTCGTGTGAGTGTTGTAAGACATACCAATTTAGTCTAATCAACTCATCAACCGACTAATCTCAAGTGTGACCCTACTTTCCCTACTTTTTTTCTGTGAATAGTTGATCGACGAAATCTAACTCAAATCTTAATCAGTTATGGGAATCCAACTAATGATTTAGCTGTCCTTGTTGATCTTAAACTTAAATTCGATTCTTCTTTTACGACCGTGCTTAATCCGGACAGGCGATGGTCTAAGAAGTTTGACGATCCGTACACGAAAAACATCCTTTTTATATCTCTTGTTCGACATTTTCTTGAGTTTTGCATTAATATTCGATTTAATTTCCAGAAGATTCGATTCATCAAGACAGATGATTATTTATTCAGATTTTGTTCTTCCTCGTGTTAAGTCAATATATTTAAAACTACCCAGTAAGTAGATAGCTCTAATCTTTAATCTTAGTTTGTATTTGTTTTTGTAAGAGGCGGGATGCAGCACGTTGCATCGGGATTCGCGCAATTAAATTTAAAGCTGCTTGTTTAATCAGTCCGGACTAACTGATTGGCTAATTGGGATTAACGCGCTGTCGTAACTGTAACAGCTGGAAAGCTTTCATTTTCCACAGAAATTTTTTTTATAATTTAACTGAATTATATGACAATTTTTCGGAAAATTATGTCGCCGAAGGCTCTTTCGCTTTTCATCTGAAAATGAGTGGAAAAGCGTGTGGGTATAATGGCTTTCAGCAAATGTGTGTAACAGGCTAAAGGAAGCATCTCCGACCCCATAATATATATATAAATATATATGTATATATATTCAGCATGATTTGCAGATCTGTCTGTCCGAATGTATAAGCACGACAATCTTCGAGCCTGCAAGATTTTTATCAATGCTATTACAAAGGAGCGCATGCCGAGAGCTGCTCAGGGTATCCCCTAGTCGTGCACTCCCGACTAGAGTACTCTTGCTTGGTTTTCATTCGAATAGCTAAACTGATTTCCTTTGAATTGCAGCAACAATTGTTGAAATGATAATTGGCTCAGCTGGGGGAGTTTTGCTTTAATCCTCTGAAGGGCCTCCACGAGCCGAGTATCCTCTTTTAAATACAATAACTACATATCTTAGTGCATTATATCAACAGCATATTCTCAGACATAAAGCGATTCGGAGAATAAATTGTTACTCGATTGCACTCAGATGACTTATGACTGCTATAACATTTCTCTCGGAGTATTCGGATAATTCCATTAGTATCAACAACAATCCGCAGCATCCGTTTGCCTGCTGCCCGCTGCCCCTCCCACAAATATTCCGCTTTATGTCGCGGCTGGCGCTGCGCTGACATCTGTTGGCCGCCCACTCGGGGGCAGCTGTCCTGCTGCTCGTCCTAGCGCAAGCACTTTTCGGTAAAATGAAAATCAATAAAAAGCTCAATGACGTCAGTCGCGTGTACACATACAATATAAGCAAACTCACACACGCTCACACACACACACGCACGCACGCACGCACGCTGTTTATGCTTAAGATGAACACAGAGGCCCGCTGGCAAATGAGCTGCGTACGAGGCGCACAGGACACCCGCAGGATCCGTCGGAAAGCGCTGCGAATATAACTGCTGCTCGGGCCGTGCCCGAAGATGTCGCACGTGAGCCGGCCAAAAAGTTCCAGCAGCAGCAGCAGCAGCAGCAAATGCTAAAGTTTCCCCTCGCATTGTGTGTGCGTTTAAGAGGGGGGGGTCCTGGCGGGCAGGACCTTCTCGGGCGCTAACGCCGCATGACAATTTTCGCTAAATCACATGATGGCTGGCGATAAGCAGGCAGATAAAAGCGACAACGACAACGACAAAGTAATTTTGAATATGCACTGGGCGACAGTTGTTTGTTCCATCTTTTCTATCGTTTCTGGCCAAGCCCAAAAGTATGCAATGCTTTTTTTCACTTCCAAATAAAATGCATTGTGGAATTTACCCTGTACGCAGTTCTTAAATAAACTATTTGTACTATATAAAGTGAGAGTTTTTTTTAAACCTTTTTAACATACACTTCCCACTATAGTAGCCGCTTATGCCCGGTATTGTATTTTTAAAGGGCATAATAATTATTATTATTGCTTTATTTTTAATTACTTTTATCATTTTTTTAATCTTTTTTTTCATTTTTAACACGAAATTTAAATTTATTTGTCTCGAATTTCCATAAATAAATTAAATAACAAGCTAAAGGGAAGCTGGTTTATAAATTTCGTACGAATTACAAAAAGATATAAAAATATATAGTTAGGGTCAAATGAGGACAACAAACTGTCTCGAATCATATTTGGCTATTTTTCTGTTTACATTATTGACTTGTCTTAGTTGCATTGGTAAAACTGAGTAAATAGAAGCACTCGGAAAATGGAGTTGAACATGATTATTTATTCTTAATAATTATTTTATTTTATAGATAAACTTGAGCTTGAAGCTTTCTTTTATATCAACTGTGAGCTGAGTGTGCCTTCTATTTGCAATTGATTTTATTCAAACGCAGTTGGATAAACAAATGCGCATGGATTTTGAGATGAATAAAGATCATATTACTTGGCTTATATTAAAATAAAGCGCTGGCTAATAAAAACAAAGTTTATTTGTTATCTTATCAACTGCTTTAACAGAAAATATAAATTAAATATAAATATAATTATATTGCCTCGCTTAATAGCTGATAAAGAAACCAATGACATCTTATATATGTAGCTCCAAAAGGAACAGTCGGCTGATAAACATAATTTTGTTGAGACATAGCACAAATTCGCAATATATGTAAGTGCAAGTAAATGAGAGCTTCGGCAAGAGGAAGATAATTTTCGTTTGTTTTGATGTTGTTGTTGTTTTTTTTTTATTTGAATAAGAGTGAAATAAAACCACAAAACATAACCAATAACAAGCGCAGCCCCAACATCAAACAGTCACTGCGGCAAAATGGCAACAACAACAATAATAATAATCATAACAACAACAACATGGCATAATATACACTTGAGTGTTATGAATATGCAACATCAACTTTGATGTTAATGTTTGGCAGCATGCGACAGGGCGCGAAACAGGAAAACAATCGCGAAGGGCGAAACATAGATTTGGGCGAGAGAGGAGGATACACACACTCCCACTCACGCGCACACATACAATTATTGTCGCCGTTAGTTTGCAGTAGGTGTTAAAATTGCACATGAAATATGAAAAGGCAGCAGAGGCAGCCCACTAACTGTACCCCATACCCTGCCCAACTGACCTCCGCGGGCCACCCACTAATCTCGCTGGCATGGTTAATAACTCCCTTTACCAATTCACCACAGCGAGAGCAAAAGGTTGATGGCAGAATGAGAGTGAGAGAGAGAGTGAACAAACGGCAGAGAGGCAAGCGCTGACGACAATCGCAGCAACTGCTGCTATTCTGCTGTTCGCTCGCTGGCTCTATCTTTCTCTTTCGCTCTAACACAGGCTAGCTTGTGGGTGGCACTCTGGCGCCGCCTGTCGACTCGACACTTGAAAGCTCAGACGCTGTTGGCTTCAGTTTCAGTTTCAGTCGTTGTCGTGTCGTGATGTCGTTGCCGTCGTCGTCGTTGTTGTAGTCGCAGCAACAGCAGGAGCAGGCAGCAGCAGGCAGCAGCAGCAGCTTCAGCAAGCAGCAGCAGCAGCCGCAGTCAACGCAGTCGTTGTCGTTGTCGCGCGTATTGTACAACAACAAACATAACAACAATAACAGCAACAACAGCAGCAGCAACCACAACAATAATAATAGTAACAGCAGCTAGAAGAAGAAGAAAAAAACACAAAAAGTAATTGATAAACGAAATATAAGGCTAACAAATTGCGCATATGGAATGCACAAAGGGGCGAACTGCTTTTTACACAAATACATATACATATATATGTATGTATATATATATACATATATTTGTACAGACATGTGCACGCGTTTATGTATATGTACATATGTAAATGTATATTATATACGTATATATGCAACTTTCGCTCGTGAGCTAGCTACATTCCTTAATAACTAAATATATTCTTAATACATAAAAGTGCAAACAGCGAAAAAAAACACACAACAAACAACTCGAGTATGTTTTTCAAGCGAAATTAAATTTTCATTGCGTTGGTTTTTCTTTTCACAAATTTTTGCTCGCTTTGTTTCTGTTTTTTTCTTTTTTTCTGTACACACAACACCACGCAACCCGAATCAAGCCAGCCCAACCACCACCACCACCCCCCTACTTACACCTACTGGCCCCGAAAACAGAAAAAATATAAAAACCCAACCCAAGCCCCAGCGTATATACTCTCCTCGTCGTCATCGTCGTTGTTGTCGTTTTTGTGGCCGTGATCTCGTCGTGCCTCCCTCTCCCACCACGCTCCGCTCCTCATTTGTGCCAGGATACACGCATTAAATAAGCTGTAAAGCGTACGCACACACACACACACACACACAAACATACAAATTTTATCTATGCTGAATAAATTTGACAAATTTTTAAATAAATGCCAATTAAATAATAATTAAAAAAAAGTGATGCGCAAAAATAATACGTAAACCTGTAAAACAATTAAGTGAGTGTGTGTGTTCGTGTGTGTGTGTGTTGTGTGTGAGCAGAGGCAGCAGTCACTCACTTTGCTTACGGACTCGCTCGCTGTGATAAGTTCACCACACACAGCAACAAAAACAACAACAACAATAAGAACAACGACAACAGCAACAAAAACCCTACGAGAATAGAGCCAAAAACAATGCGCAACGCAAATGTTAACTGTTAACTGCAAAAGCGCACATCACAAGGAAGTTGGCAGCCCTGTGTGTGGCACACACACATACGCACACGCATACACATCTATTGGCAAATTGCTCGGTTTGTGTAAAAGACTACAACAAGTTGCAGCTGGACAATGGACAGGAGTGCGTATAAGGAATATGGAACAATGAGAGTGCATTGAATTAAACGTGCGTCTCGCACGTCTCTGTCTCTTTCCCGCGGCTGCCGTTTTAATTGTTCTGTTCACAAACCAGTATTTTGTACACGACAAATATCCCAGTTTTATGTGCCCAGTATTTCCTGCTGCCTGCAGGCAATGCAACATAACTACAGCCGTCAGCTTTTGGCTCAGACGGCAACCGAAGCTCGTGAAGTGCGACTCGTTCAATTTGTCAAATGTTACATTAATTAGCAGAAAATCTCAATTAATTGATTCCCATTTGCCAGTTAAACATTAAGCAAAGTTCAAGTGCATTCAAAATAGATAAATAAATGAATCCACTGCAAATTATTTAAATAATCTAACTTACTGTACATAAGCTACGCTTTTCTATCAAATAAATTGTGTAAAAAACAAAAAAAACAGAAATCTACAATTTCTAATGCAACAACTACTTAAGAAAAATCTATTTAATTTTCTATTACAAATGAAAACAACAACAAACAAAACAACCAATTTAAACAACGAATAAACAAACAACGCCGTTTACAACCGACAACAAATCTCAAATGATGAATACATGTAAGCAAAGCCAGGCATTTCATTTTGATTTCTTGAATCTATGATTGTTTAATGAAACATTTATATTTTTTAATAAACTTGTTTGAAATCTAAAAAAATTTAAAAAATTTCTATTCATAAAAGAACTCTTTTTTAGGGCAAATATCTGTTTTTTAAACTGTTTTTTTTTTTTAATTAAAATAAATTATTATTGCCTTTCTATTTGCCAGAATAATAAGAACAAATTAATTGAAAGCTCTTAAGCAGTATTTTACGCAATTTTGAAGAATATTTGATTTTAAAATACAAAAAATTAAGTTACATTAAATATTTTATATATTTTGTTAAAGTGCGTTAGATTGTAGAACAATCTATAAAATGAATCTAATAAAGATAGCAAGGCGTACGGGCGACAACAAAACCAACAACAACAATGCAAACAATAGCCAAGAGATTGCCACAATGGCAACAAGAGCCGCCCCTCGGTTGCCGTTGTTGATGCTGTTTACTGGCCAATAATCAGGCGCTGTGCGCGGCGCCTGTGACTGGGGCTCGGGCTGGGGCTGGCCTGCATGGATGGGCGGCAAATTTAATTAAAAGGTAAACTTGTTAAGCAACAGGGACAAGCAGCAGCAGCAGCAACAACAACAACAACGACAACAACGACAACGGTAGCAACAGGCAGTCATTGAATCGATTTTACTTTTATTTTACTGGGCTGTCAACACAAAATGGCAAACGTCACGAGCCTGAGACAACATCAGCAATGACAGCAGCAAATCAGTTGAGACGCAACAGAACCGACACCCAGTTACCCTAACCAAATCAAGACTTGGGCTGAATTGGGCTACTATTTAAATGGAAATAAATACTTCTTTTATAAAGCAGGTCTTGGCCTCATATTTCAATTAAGAGATGTGAAGCTGAGCTAGAGATGTGCGCGTGTCACGGCACGGGAAATACGAAAGAGCACAATAACTATTTTAATGAAATTTATATAAATTAAGCATGTTTAGAAAAGAGATAAATGTGTGTAGCAGAAAAAAATACGAAAATAGAAAAGAAAGGGTTAAATTTCGAATGCTCAATTTCCTGTCTCCAACTTATCTGGAATTTATATTATATAATAATATATATTATTATATTTTTAATGGATTTGATATATTTTTTTTTTTTTTTGGCTATATAAAACTAAATACTGTTCATATAGTAAAGGATATAGAGATGTATAGTGTACATGGCTTAGTATTTAGTTATAACAGTTAGTTGAATCAACTATATTTCCAGCTCAACTTGAGTTTGTAAACGTTTAAGACTAAAGTAAGAATAGATGAAAATAGTTACTATTTCAGGCTTGCCCGTACAAAAGAGGCATTGATAATTGATGGACTCTGAGCGTTCCACGCGCGAATTCATTAGCTTATTTGAGACGCCTTTGGCTGCTCGTTACGAGCACTTGTCAGCACTGAATATGCCCTGTTAATGCATTTTAGTTGGGGCGTTGTCCATGGTCATCAATTGGCTGTTTGTTGCTTGGCCTGACAAATGACAATGATGACGACACGCGACGGGGTCTTTGTTGGACGACGCCGACAGAGGGTCACGGACGTCATAAATGTTTGACAATGCACACGCGTCGTATGAGTAATAGAAAACCTCCCACTCGCCCGTCGCTGCCTTGCTCTTCGCCTATGTGTGGGCGAAGCTTGTTAAAATTATTGAGTCAACTGGCAGCTACTGTCCCAGGCCCAGACCCAGACTCAGACCCAACCCACTTGTTGTTGTCGTTGTTGGGTTCAATGGGTGCATAAAATTGCTTTTTGTGTCCCTATGTTAGTGTTCGCTTTTTGACATTTTCACTACATTTACAATGCCAGCTGCCAAGTGACAGGGACACAGCGCCCTCCACGTCCCCCTCGCCCCCCCCTGCTACCATTTTCTCCGCTGTTTGATTCACTTTTGTTTTATTCATTTTGTTTGGCCAACTTTCAGCTATAGTCAGCCCTGCAGTCAATGCTCGCCACTATTAATTGACAAGCTTTGTTCATGAAGTACACGCTGCTGGTAACCATGTACATATACTTTTTTCTTGTTCATATTCTCCTTGTATTTGTCGCTGTTCAACGTATTTGTTTTCAGCTAATTGCATGGAAATTGTGCGCGCAATTGTAAAAGTTGCACAGGAAGTTGAGTGGGTCGTCCCATCTCTCTCTCTCTCTCTCTCTCTACCTTCCTCCCTCCCTTTCTCCCTCCCTCCGGTAATTTGCCAGGCTATAGTTTTTGATAAAAGTGTGCTCCGAGCCAGCTGCAAGCGTTCTAAAACATAAGCTTGGGCACGCAGACGAAGCTAAAGCTCTAAGCGAAAAATGTTGCCTACTTTTTGGGGCCCAAATATGAAAAATTATAATTAGATGCACGCAAACTGCAACAGCAACCACAACAACGTGGTTGCAGCTTAAATAAGCCATTAGTTGACGGTTCAACATAACTTTCTTTGGCAGACGAGCGCCAGCAACTATAACAACAACAACAACAACAACTAAAGTACACCAACGAAAGTTACAAAGTGGCCAAGTCATTGGCTCTTTTATTGTTTTGGCTTTGGCTTTGAGCCGCTGCAACTTGGCCACGTTTTCTTTTAGCTGTGTGTGCCAAGAAACAAACTACGTCTACACACACTACACACACACACTCGCACACACACATACACAAATAAGAGTGCATTGCACCCGTCGTCGCTTGAAATGATGCCATGAAAATATCTGCATAAATTTGCGATCGCAGCGGGCGATGACGCCAAGTGACGTCACGAAAAGAAAACCAGGTTTAAGAAAATATGGGGAAACTGAAAATTAGCATTCACTGTGACAGTTGGCCACGTTTGAGACTGATAAATGACCCGAACGAAACCCAGTAACCAACTGGGCAGCCAAGCGCCTCTCAACTGTTGACCCTTTGACATTCAGCGTGCAGTGTTTAAAAATAAATTGCAACTGGCAACAACAAATTACCGAAGCAATTGTTAAGCTACTGAATAGCCTGACAATAAATTGCAAATTAACCAAAGGCAAGCGAATACGAAACTGAATGAAGCGAGTTTCACTCACGATGGAAAGTATATTTATAGAGCTTCAGCTGCACGAAATTGATTCCACGAGTGGGCTCAATACGTGGCAACAATATGCGCTCATCTGTTAAATTTTGCCCAACGAACTATGACTTGCTTAAACCATTTCGGCGGTCTTATTGAGGTTACCCAGGGTAAACTATATTTAGCATTCATATGCCAGTAGATTTCTTACAATTAATCTTCTATTCTAGTTAGTCATAGCCCGCGTTGGGCGCCAGGTGAGCTGCGGCACGTTGCATCGGGATGGAATGGCACATATTTTTCCACCAGTCGACACACATCTCAACATCTCTAGCTTCCCTAATCTTAGAGCCTTATATAGGTATAGCTAGGTATTTGGATGCAAACTTAACATGCAGCCGACCTCCGGTCTTCACTTTCGCGATTTTGTCTGTGCACACTTTTCCGGAAAACATAAAGTAAACGCGTTTTTTTTTTATCAATTCGTGTTTCAATAAGAATATAAAAGAAAATAGTTCATTGGTCTTTTAGCAATCAATTTGCAGCTCTCGCATATCGATTCAGGCTGTGCTCAGTTTTATTTATTTGCTTTTTATCGTTTATTTATTCATTCATGGTCGACAAAGCGAGTGTCAAGGCCAAAGTAGTTTATACATTTTAATAAAAAACAAACTAACTAAAAGCCTAAACAGAATGCAGAAATTTCTAATAACATCACCCACCTTAGAAACTTTGTTCGTTGGCCTGCCCGATAAATAATTCAGCGTTTTTTGTCACTCAGAAATAAGGGTTAAATAGAACATATTGATGACAAATATGCATAAATGTGGTTTCTGTTTGCTGGCAGAGAATATGTCGGACTACTTTAACATTTAGTTGGCATGAAAACATGGCGCTAAGTTTGACAAGCCATCGCATTGCAATATCACATATCTGCACAACGAATAATTAATACAAACGAAGATTAGTTTTCATTTGAAAATGTTCAATAAAGTTATTGTCTTTAGCCATAATGAATACTTGAAATCCCTCGTGGTTCTGTGAATTTTCATATCACAGAAGAATCTCGTTTTTGAGAGTAACACGATATTTTCCATATAATTGAATTAGGGGCATTAATAATTGGAAACTATATACCTTATGCAGCCTTCGGTTCCATTTTGCTTGATTTGCTCGGATTTCCATGCAATGCAGCTAATAAGCACACAGACTAAAAAGATAATAACATCATACGCAATTATAATACCCGAGAGATACGAGGATATTGAATAAAGCTTTTGCTGCGATTGCAGTGGAAAATCACAAACTGCTCTCTCTCTCTCGGAAAATGTCATTGAAATGGAAGGCAAGTGCGGTGGCATTAGCTGGAAATATGAAATGGACTTATTTCTGAATTTGAGCAACGGAACAAAAGCTTTACGGTTTGACCTTTGGCCAGGGTTCCGCTACCTTCGCTCTCCCTTTGCCCTTATTGCTGCTCTTGCGTTTGTAATTGCAAAAGTGACAATTACGTTAGACAGGGTGAGCGATAAAGGGAGACAGAGCGAGACAGTGGGGGTGATTGGGCTCATATGAGATTCGGTTATTAGCTATCAGCTATCAGCTGGCTGTGAACTTTCACATTTATCACACGGCTCTTGCTTTCAATTGCAGCGGCAACGAGGCGTATGCGTTATGTGCAACAACCTTGATTAATACAGCAAGGGACAGGCACTGACCGCGGGCCACTGGACGGACTCCCCGCGCTCCTGCTGGCTGCAACTTATTATTATTATAATTTATAATATATCTTTGTGCCTGTTAAATTTGAATTGTTGCCTTTTGGGGCTTATTATGTTATTTATTTACACTGTTTTCAGCTTTTTGGCTGCGTTTTCCTCTACTGTATTACAAATACACACGCACGCACGTACGCACGCACACACTCACACACAAAGGCGCACACAATGGGATACTGGGAAATTTTTCTAGTGTGTTTTCTTCCCATTCCTGTCTTGCTCTCTCAATCACTTGCTCTATTTTGCTCTCTTTCTATTTTGCTCTCTCATTTCGCGCTTTTGCGCGCTGTGGTGAATTCTCAAACAAACTCTCGCCAACAGCAACTTACCCCCCACGCACGACACCCTCCCCCCTGTCCATCCTTTGTATTTTGGGAATGCGCATCGAGTTGAAAACGTTCGACTACCCAGTTTCCTCGTGCCTGCGAAAAGAAAAAGTTTTGTTTCTCGAAAATCTGCCTACGATTTGATCAATTGTTTTGCGCTTGTCTGGCAACTCTGTCAGCTTGCCCTGTTCCCGTCCCTGTCACTGTCCTTTTGGGCCATTAAGCGTCAGGTCGTGCGCCAGTTCGGGCGCATAAAATAGTCACTTAAGCCCCGCATTGCTCCCAGTGCAGCCATCAATTTTGCATGGATATATGTCGCTGTTATTGTCTGTGCTCCAGTTGCTGCTGCTCGTTGTTGTTGCTGCTCGTTGTTGTTGCTGTTGTTGTTGTTGCTGCTGCTTCTGCTGCATTTGCTGCATTATCAATTCATGAGCCCAAGGAGCTGAGCTGCGAACGACACGAGCTATAAACACCCTGAGAACTGGATTTTATCTCGCCTGAACTAATGCTGCTGCCATAAGGGGGGGTTGCCTGTGTGCTGCGGAGGGGAAGGCAAACAAGCATCAGAATCAGCATCAGGCGCGTCTTGCTGTGCCGTATCCCATGTGCCGCCAGCTGCTGTTGCCTCTCGGCCTACCATGTTCCAGTTAAATTGTCCATGGGCATTCAGAGTTTGCGTGCAGATAAGCAAATATTTATGCAGTTATTTTAAACTGCATGCAAAGAAACATTTCCAGCTACTTAAATAACTAACAGCCAGTTTTGTTAAATTCTAAAACTGTATTAATATCTATCGATGGCATTAACATGAACATGAATATCTATTGAAACTCTTGACAACTTAATTAACGTTGAGTTTTTATGTCTGCTCTGATTGTTTCCTTGTTAATTCCGATTAGATAGAAGCATATAGAATATAACTTCTACTTAAATATGGGGTACAACAAATTCATACTCACTTCTTCAAGGCTTTGCCAATTGCGTTTTATTTGCCTATTCATATAACTTTACATTGACTCGATAAAAGAATACAGTGAAAACTCTCCTAACGAACACTACAAATAGGCGTACACCCCTCTTGGCCGAACATATAACCACACGTTAAATAACCTAAATTTTTTCGTAACGGATCTTAATGAAGTTTGCTGAATTCGATCTACTTTTGGTATAATATATTCTTAAAAAAGACAACCGCCAAAAATTGTGAATTAAATTGATGGGTTGTTCCAATCTATTTTATTATTTGACTTTAGCTATGTGGTGTTGGCGGCGTGGCAGTAGCTATAAAATGAAAGCTACTTGATCTGTATATACTATTCTAGAAGCTGCATATCAAATTTGGTGACTCCAGCTTTCAAAACCTAAGAGATTTGCCTCGAAAAACGGGATACTATTATCGTTTATTATCGATTTCTTGAGAATGTGCAAGTTATCGATTATCAGAGACAAATTCGTACTGCGCGGGCACAAGGAGGACCTACGTTCAAAACTTCAAGTCTTTAGCCCTTTTAGACTCTGAGATCGACACGTTCATACATTCGGACAGACAGAGAGACGGATATGACTAGATCGACTCCGCTATTGATGCTGACCAAGAATGTATGTATTTTATGGGGGTAGAGATTCGTTATTCTGCCTGTTAAACAAATTTGCACAAAACCAATAAACCCTTTTAACCCATTTTCGATGGGTTCAGGCTATATCAAAATGTGTTTCCTAGAAACTTTTGTTGGGAAGAAACTTTCTCATTTGATGTGCTGCACTTTATCATGATGCTGTTCCAGATTTAATGTCTGGCCTGCTCAGCGCCACTCCAAAATGTCTGGCCCAACAGTTGCTTGGCACACGAGGTCGATATCCTCCTAATATAAGACAATGTGCACGGCAAATTGTCTTGTTTTATGCTTATGTTTTTCTTATAGCTGTGGACGAAGTCATATTCTCCTTCCATCTCTCTATCTCTCTCTGTCTGTCTCCCTTTCTCTCTAATCCATTGCCTAATGGCTTTTCACTTAATCGCTGTCTGCTCGCCATCTTTGAAATAAGTTAATTCGAAAGTGCAAAAGCCGCGTCTCAATCTGCATATAACACACACTCACACACTCACACACACACTCGCACACAGAGAGCGATTCACACTGCGGAAGTGGGGCGCATGAAAGGCTCTTGCTGCAGTTTCCTTATCCTTCATCTATACGATTACTTCCCCCAATATGCTCTCCCCCCCCCCTGCCACGCATCCAACGCGCTCTTGCGTAGAAGTGGATGCTTCCGCTTGCATTTTTCAGTATTGCGCGTTCCAACGAACAAGTTTGTCAACAGAAATAGCCCCGCCCCGCTCCGCAGCACGCAACAGCCCTCGCATTTCTATGCGTCTGTGTATGCGTGTGTGTGTGTGGGCGTGTGTGTGGCCTCGTATATATTTTCGCATTTTGTACGTGCGTCACCGGGTCAACCACAACGAACAATTTGCCAACCCTCGCATCTGCACCTGTTCCCAGCTGCGCTGCTGCTCCCCTCTTCCCATGCTCTTCCTATCATACGGGACGGCCCCTGCTGTTCCTGTGGCATGTTGTTTGCCCTGGCATGTTGATGGCCATAAATACTTACCGTTACACATGTTTGCATTGTGACCAAGCTGCACGCCCATCTACCGCCCCCCCCCCACATCCAGCCCAGCCTGCCCGACCTGTCCTGTCCGATCTCGTTAAAATTCTCATTTCCGTTTTCGACACAAAATTGTTTATACACATACATACATATATTTCCACTTTGGCAGAATGCATTTTATTTCGAGTTTTAATTAAATGGCGCACACAAAAAAACTATTGCCTACTTTTCAGCTGAAATTAGGATTACCGTTTCAACTGAATGCGTGCTTGCCAGAGACGTGCCAGCCAAACCCAATTACTTCTGATCAGCTCTGTATTCCCAATAACAGTTGCCCTAATTGATGTACAAAATGTTTAAATGAGCAAATTATATGCGAATTAAATATTTAATTATTTTTGAAATATATTTGTGGGCTTTTACAAAGAAAACATATTCACAGAATTAATATTGATTTTGGTATTTTTTGCTGAAAACCCCAATTAAATCCATTGTCAGATATAGTCTATATTTTGGTTATAAGTATATTTTAGCACTAGTCGAACTAAATTTGAAGGTCAGCATTATTAGCACTAATTAAAGCTAATTTACTTTTATTAATCTCATTTTATATAATTCGCTAGCACAGTTTGACGAGCTAGGTTAAAACATACAGAAAGTGCACTTCAGTATGCATGCTGTACTCTTGTCGTTGCCTGACGCTTGCAATTCGCAACTGGTTAAAGCGTTATCAAAGCTATAGCAAAGTCCGCTAATGATAGATGATGATACTTAAAATGAATATACAGTCTATCTGCTTATTGATGTTTATACTTTGTTGTTTATTGGTTTCTTATATTAACAATAACGAGGCAATAACCTCGAGACGGAAAGCTCTTCAGTATTAATATCAAATTGAATATATTTCAAAAATGCATTCAATTGAAGTCATTTATTAATAATACTCTGCATTTGCTCTATCTTCACTTCTCCCTCTCTCTTTCTCTCTCTCTCTCTCTCTCTCTGTATTTTTGCAGTGCTGACCACTGAAATTCTTTTGAATAAATAACGCACGCTAATCGCTAATTGGTAAAACAAAGATGCCTTCGCCTCACACACCACAACAAGAACAACAACGGCAACAGCAACAACAACAACCACAACAACAACAACAACAACAGCAGCAGGAGCAACAACCATTTGGACTACAACAAGCAACGCAGACAACACTTCAAATAGCCACAACAACAACAACAACAACAACAAAGCCAGGCAGCGTTTCAGAGCGCTGACAAAATGAAACAAAAGCAGAATCGAGACGCAGTAAATAAATGTCGACAAATTTTTCTTCTGATATGAAAGCGATCTAAAAATACAAAAACCAAAAGGAAACTGACCTTGAAGAGGTCAAAGTGCAGCACACACACACGCACACGAGCACGAACACACACACACACACACACATACATCATCACAATCTCATACCACTCAACATGCACACACACACAGACACAGACACAGACATCCACATGAAAAGTGCTTAGCGAAGGGAAACTGCAAAGCTGATCAGCGCCATTAAAAAGTCAAAAGTTTCAACGAATTTCCAAAAGCCTACAGAAAAAAAAGAAAAACAAAAGAAAAATAAGCCAGCAAAACCGACATCTTATAAAGTTCTTAAGGAAAAACAAAAACTTAAAAACAAATAGTAAGAAAGTAAAATTTAGAAATTTGCTCTGTGATTTTCTATCAGAATGGTTTAATAATCCAAATAAATTTAATTATAATTATAACAAATTAAATATAATATTTATAAATATATTGCCTAAATGCATTCAAAACCAAAAATTAATTAAATATAAAAAGAGAAGCTTTAAAAATTCCCAACAAAACCAATATAAATTCTATAAAAAGAATAATATTTAATTATATACGCGTTTACAAGCGATTTATTAACTAATTAATGCAAACATAATTAGTTTTTATGTGCAAAACCAACGAAACATAAGCCGCGGCCCACAACAACTACATTCCAGAAACAGTTGCACAATCAGTTCCATTCGCAGTTCCAGCTGAGCGCTCTTTAGCCTAGCCATGGATGAGATGCCAGATTTGTCGCATCTGACGCCGCACGAGCGCATGCAGATTGAGAATGTGCTCATGCGGCAAAAGCAGGAGGAGGAGAAACAGAACGAGATAATGCGGTGAGTAGCTGATAACAGTTGATAAGGCCCTTCGCCCCCGTTAAGCTGAGATATGCAAATGCAAAACCGAAAACTAACCGAACCGAATGCAAATGCACTTTCCCACAGCCGCAAACAGGACGAAGTTGTCACACTGGAGATGCAAATCCGGCAGCGCTCCGAGCAGCAAAAGAAGGCCGGCGTCGAACTGGATGCCACCTGTCACATATGCCTTAAGACCAAGTTTGCCGATGGCGTTGGCCACATTTGCCACTACTGCAACATACGCTGCTGTGCCCGCTGCGGTGGCAAGGTGACGCTGCGCAGCAACAAGGTAAGCCAATGGGGGACTTCGTCTGTGTGTGTGCGAGTGTGTGTGAGTGTGTGTGCATCTCAGCTGACAGCCTGGCAGCCGCCTGACAGCCTGACAGCCTGACACATTTTCCAGTTGGCAATTTTCAAGTGCCATTAGACGCGGCTGTCACTCGGCGACGCGTGAAGCCAGCAAAATGACAACGATTCCTGCTTATTTTCCAGCCATTGATAAATTGGATGACACTCTGTCGCCAGTTATACTGGCCGCGTCCTCGCTTGCCTTCAGCTGCTGCTGCTGCTGCTGCTGCTCACTCAGGCAGCCCATCGCTCATACGCCCCGTTGGCCAGCACTGGCTGCCAATTGGCCAAACGCTGCGTGCACCACGCATAAATAATGGCCATCGGGAATATCGCCAACGCTCGACTATAAAACCCAGCCAATATTTATTGGGCGTTTAGCATTTGCCGGCCAATATGTGTCGGCGTTGGGGGTTTGGATCGGCTTGGTGCAGGGTCAATTCGACACTTGATTTTTGACATTGAAAGACAACAACAGCAACAAAATAGCGCACAAGGCTACCGAAATTCAAGCACTAAATAGTTTTCCCATCATCTATGCCAAAGGGCAATCGTTAAAGTGCATCAAGCATCAAGATTAGCCCTTAATGGATAAGAAAACACGCTTGGAAATAAAATAATTGCTCTTTAGAAATCGACAATCCACTCGAAACTACTTTTTATAAGCAGATACCCTATAAATCAACAAAATAAAAATGTTAGCATCTCAAGAGCCGAGGGGTATCTATGTATATCTCCTTGACGAGAAAATGGATGTGCTTCCTGCTAAAAATAAATTAAACAAGCCACGCCAAAGAATTAGACATGATATTATATCAAAGTTGTATGATGATGGCCGATTGTTCCTACGGGACGCATTGGATATACTTAGCCCGATTTGAAAAAGTTCTGCAGTTATGTTAGGAGAATAGGAAACTTCGCAATTGCTGCGTTTGGTCGTTATATCTTTAGAAGAGAAGTTTGACAGCCATTTGATATGGTAATTCAATGTAAATACGATTTTGCTCATCTGTAAGAAACATGATGCAAATTTGTTGAAGAACTTAAGTAGAAGGAACTTCAATTCGGCTAATCAGTTCTGTTAGTGCTCTATAATAACTATCCAATTTGTTATAAATAATCGTAACTTATCTTGCAAGTTTTGCCAGTCAAATACATATATTTATATATGTATATATATTATATCAAATATAATCAGATACAGTATCGCTTCACTTGGCTATATGGCAATAATATATATCATAATTTCAAAGATCTGGCAACACCAATAGATAGCCTGAGTTAGGTTGGCTGTTCCAGCGCAATGCGGTCATGCAAAATGTAAAACCTTTCAGCAAATACTACGACTCCTGCTAACTGGCTTCCAAGAACCTTGTCGAGAGCTATATGTACATATATTGCTCGCAGCATATTTAAATTTCGCAGAATTAAATGGCCATCGATGTCTCTTGCAATGCAACCCTATTGGGGGGGGTTCTTGGTGCCCCTGCAGCATTTGGCACACCATTTCACAATGCATTGCATTTCAATTACACGTTTTTCAATTTTTATTTTGCCCAGTGAGCCGTGACGGGTTGGCTCTTGCCTGGGCTTATCATTTGCTGGCCACGTTGCCAAACGTTTTGTTGAAGCTTTGCCAAGATGTCACCGAGTCACACATACATAGAGACAGATGTTTCTCTATTGTACACACACACACAAACACACACACACACACGGACATACACTGGTTTAGGTAAAAGCACGATGAGCACAAAAATGGGGGGAGGGAAAGAAACTTTTAACAATTTTCGGCATGGAAAAGAACGCGAAATAGAATTTCAATTTGGCTTACTGACAATATCAACTGTCATTGAAATGGGAGGCACGAAATATGAGCGACATATGAACCAAATGGTAAAAATTTTGCTGTCTCTGTTCCTCCTCATCGTTCCCATCCCCATACTCCAAATGCTCATGATCATCATAGTCATCATCGTCGTCGTCTTCCTCTATATGGCCAATGAGCAACCAGCTCCAATGCCACTGGGGACAACACAAGTACACGCTGCTGAAGCCCGCAAAGTACTCGCCACGGCCGCGCTCAATGTACGTAATGAGGTGGAAGCTGAAGGTGCTCCATAGTTCCCACAACTTGTTGAAGTAGAAGAGCAGCCTGGTCGGCGTGAAAAGCGGATGCAAGTCCAGTCCATCGTTAACGTCCCCCTCTGGCGGCTGTTCCATGCCGCGCCCTCAACTCGAATGACGTTGAGAATGTTTTATTCCTTGTTGATGCTCTTGTCGTTGACATTCGCAGCAAAGTGACTGAGTTCGAACTTGTTCTGTTCCTGCAGGTGATCTGGGTGTGCATTCTATGCCGCAAGAAGCAGGAGCTGCTCTCCAAGACTGGCCAGTGGATCAACAAAACAGCGGTGCAACAAGATGGTTTTATCAGGCGCATCGAACCAGATGGCAGCAGCGTAAGTGGAGCCACTGTTAATTGAACGAGCTTTGCAACTAACTTTCCCTTCTTTGTATGCTCTCGCAGGACATCTCGCAGCAGGCCATTGTGGATCCGCACGACACGACGGACAAGCGGCCCAAGCTGGAGCGCACGCGCAGCGCTGCCGAGAAGGAGAACCTGCCCATGCAGCGGGCCGGCAGCATGTTGCGGCGTCAGTACTCGCAGCAGGAGCAGCCCACGAATCGCCGCCTCTCCGTCTCGGACAGCGGCATGGAGCCGATGAGTCCCGGCCAGCAGCAACAGCGCCAACGCATGCAGCCCATGAATCCGCAGCAGGCGCAGCAATACCAACTGCAGCAGCAGCAGCAGGGCTACGGCCAGCAGCATCCACAGAGATCGGGCGCCTATCCCGAAGATGATCCGCGTTACTATCAGGTGAGCTTTCATATCCTATAAGGGTTTTGCTCCTCTGAAGTCAAAGCAGTTTACCAACACTGGCCCACAAAAAACTAGTTACAAATTGAACGCAGCCTCAAGAGACTAGAGTATTTTTTTTAAATGTAAATAGGTGAACGCAGAAAAAGTTTAGATATTTTTTCGATATCTTCCAATTCCACAATATCGGTAATTATCGAGCGTGACTCGAAAACCATAAAAGCTAGATATACTTAAATTAGTATGAGGGAATCCTATAAGATAGGATTAGATAAGTTCTAGTATATGCAAGGGCTCTTGTTTCAGGGTATCTCCTAGTCGACTCTTGCTTTTATGCACTTTATCAGGAAATGAAAGCGTTGGACAGCATCATATTCCGGGAATTCTGTAATTATGGAATTTAGAATTATTTCAGAATTATAAGATTTTGTCGTAACGGAATTTGTAAGAATACGTGCCATTGATATTGCGGATATGGCTTTATACAATAGGAGTTCAAAGAATTAGGTGCAATGCAATCAAATAAAACTGAATAAACACACAGTGAGAATCTGATGGAACTCTTCTATAGAACTCTTCAGTTCCAGGAATGCTCTTGATTTCCTAAACAAACTTTAGTTTATGCTAATTAAGTTTTTCTTAATAAAATTCTATGTTCAACATTTGATTTATTTCTACCGAAAAATGCTGTAGGGCTTCTAAGAAATGTAATAGTGAAAGGTGCTGCTAAATGGAAATAAATAAAAAATTAAATTTCAAAATTGAAGGCGTCAAGCGAACATAAATCAAATATTTCGTGATTGCAAATTTCTGGGTATTTATTTCCGAAATTGTCGTAAAAGCAATGTAAATAAAATGTTCATAACATGAACCGAATTCGCATGAAATTTGAATATTACAAATTGGCTAACGCTTTGAAATACTTTAAAAGTTTGGAGAACTTCTACTACTACTACTACTACTACTTCTACTACTACTACTACTACTACTTCTACTTCTACTACTACTACTACTACTACTACTACTTCTACTACTACTACTACTACTACTTCTACTTCTACTACTACTACTACTACTACTACTACTACTACTACTACTACTACTACTACTACTACTACTACTACTACTACTACTATTACTACTACTATTACTACTACTATTACTACTACTACTACTACTACTACTACTACTACTACTACTACTACTACTACTACTACTGCTAATATTATTATTTAAACTTGACAAACATTGGTTTAATTATGAATTTCTCAATTGCTGCAGGGCGAACTGGACGGCCTTATGCGACAACATCCACATCTGGCGCATCCCAGCCAGCTGCAGCAGCAGCAGGCACAACAACAGCAGCAGCAGCAGCAACATCACATGCCACAGCAGCAGCAGCAGCGCCCGCAACCGCAGCAGCAGCAACCTCAGTACAATGCACGGCAGCAACACCCACAGCAGCAACAGCAACAACAACAACAGCAGCAACAACAGCAACAGCAGCAGCAGCCGTATCAGGGGATCGCGACGCACGCCCAAATCCATCAGCAGCCATCGCAGCTGGGCGGTGGCTACCAGAAGCCGCCACCACTGACCCGTAATCTGACGATCAGCGGCGGACATGCCATGGACGCCACCTCCTACAACCAGCAGCAACAGCAGCATCAGCAGCAGCAGCAGCAGCGCAGAGCCCTGGCTGGGGCACAGTACGCCTCGCAGCAGCAGCGCTCGTTCAGCAGCTCCGAGGAGGAGTTTCAGAATCATCTGATGGCCGCAGAGGCGCAAGTGCAGGGTCATGGGCAGGGGCAGGGGCACACGCCGAACGCTGGCAGCGATTATGACGGTGAGTTGTTGCGTTTTCTCCAATTTGCACATCTGTATGTCTCTCTTGCATTTCTCTATCGCTCTGACTGTCTTTCTTTAACTGTAACTGTTAGCGCTCGCTCGCTCTCTGCCTCTCTCTCTCTCTCTCTCTGTCTCGCTCTCTATGTATTGCTCTCCTTTAACCATTCTAAGTATCCAGCCTAGGCGTATATACATACATATATAAAAAAAACCTTTTTTTTTTTGTTGATAAAAATTCTTAGTTGTTACTGTCTCTCTCTCTCTCTCTTTCTCAAACTCTCTTTTGACTCGCTCGCTAAAAATATGATAAATATTGCCACAAAAAAAAATATATACATATATATATTTAACATATGTATATGTATATTTTTCTATAGATAATCCTTTCAAAAAGTAATACACTGCAGCTCTCTCATTGGTGCGTTGTCTTTTCCTTTAGATCCTTTGGCTTTTCCACTAACGAAATTAATAAATGTGTTTTCTTGAAGCAATATTTTCCAACACTTTCCATCAGCTATTCTCACACCATTTCAATATTTTATTTGCTCCTTCTTTTTGTATATATTTAATTTTATGGCTCTTTTAACCTTAACGTAGCTCAGTTTAAGTCAAGATTTAAGCTAGCTGTAAAGTTGTATACTATAGTTAGTTAAGCCTAAAGTAAGTTCGCTTTAAGTTTTGTTTAGCTGCCACATTTTGTGGCAATTTGGCCACATTCTGTTGACCCGGTTCGCGGCGCTGGAACAGAACGGAACGGAAGTCTTAAATTTGCACATAATTTTCACTGTAAAAATTGTTGGGCCAAACTGCGAACTGAAACCTTTTCAAATACCACAAAGGAAAATGCAAGTTGCATGCACCGCATTGCAAAAATAGAAACCAAATGCCGCACACACACACACACACGCACACAAGGGCCATACACACATTCTCTTTGCTGGGAAAACATTTGGAGGCGCTTATCTTGACTCTCAACAACAAGAGCAACAACAACAACAACAACAGCCGCAGCCGCAGCCGTGGCAGGCGCAATGGCAACATAAACGAAATAAAATAAAAATAAATTGTTGACCGTTACGTTAGTGGAGGGGGCGTGGTAGGGGGGAGTTAGCAGCGGCGGGCAGCAGCTGGCAAAAGGACCGCGACAAGTGCCCACTTTTTCACCCTGCATACTTTTAGGCGGGGCATTTTCCTCGGTTTTTTTTTCGTTTTGCCCGTTAAATGCAATCAGCATAAATTATATGCAGCAGCATGTCGGCTGATGGGCTGGGAGGGGGTTCGGCGGGGAAAGCTAGGGCACAGCTGACCCGAAAACACATTTTCCAAGCAGCAAAGGCAACCGCAAAGATATCTAAAAGTTGTTGGCTAGTTGCAGTTGACTGCAGTGAAGGTGTGTAGAGAGGGGGGAGGGGGTTGAAGGGGGTTAGTGAGCAGTGTTTGCCGCTGCATGGCTCATGCTTTGCTGAGCGATGTCGCCGGCGACACTGTCAAGTGCGTTGCTGGCAAATTTATTAGCCTAATTAGAAAGTTTCTTGTTGGCACTTGGCTGCAAGCCTCAATAGGCAGCCCATGCCACGTGCCCCATGCCCCAAGACCGGCCCAAAAATATTCGGCTTGTTTGTGTTGGGCCTACTGCAAGAAGCAGGCGCAGGCAACATGGCGACTGCTGATTTAAAATTGTTGTACTTTATTTTTTATTGCTGCACATTAGCGTGCAAAGTTTCTGGCAAGCATGTTGCATTGCCACGCCCCAGCGCCCACCCGCTAACTCGACAGCAAACTAGCATATAATAATTATTGATTTCAACTTTGGCCCCGCAAAAGCTGAGTGCAAGTCGTTGTTGTTGTTGTTGTTGCCAGTCAGCCAAGTTTTCTGCGACCATCTGCAAGAAACTGTGGCATAAAATTAGGCGCAAAGTTTTCGGTCTACCCCCAGCAATGTCGATGAGCAGGCACAAAGTTGGCCAAAACTCTGGCAACTGCAATGCTACCTCAACTACTGATAGGGTACCAGCACCTCTGGGAGACCCAGCCCCCTTACTATTGCCCTGCCCGCCCTCCGCGCTCAGATTGTTGCAGCTGATTTAGCGTGCGCCCGGTGCAGCTGCACTGACGTACACTGTGAACATTCACCACCACTGAGCCACGCGCCAGCCGAACTCACCACAGCAGTTCGCAGTTCACCACGGCGCTGTTCACAATAGTCTTACACGCAAGCCGTCCCCAGGCGTCATGCGTTGGAATATTCCCAGCCACAAATTGGAAAATTCCCACACAAACACAAACGGCATGCCAGACGCATGCGCTGCATTGGCATGCCACCCCCCCCATCGTCCCACTCGCTGGCTATTGCATGGCCTCAGCAGCAGCTGATGATGTTGCGGAGCGCGCGTAGTGTCAAAATTATTTGATTTAAACAATAAATTGTATTTCCCTTTATGAGTTAGCGAAACAAGGACCTTCCGGCTCATGGTAAGCGGGCGTTTAGATATTAAGTGTTGGGAATTACATTGACTATGTGAAGGAGTTGCGCACATCCGGTGAAATGTTTATAAAATCAACTAGTTCCATGCCTTGGCATTTGAATGCCTTTACTTGATGGGTAAGAACTAGTTTCATGTTTTGGCAATTGAGTGCTTTTCTTAATGGGATTCGTATAGAAAATCATAGAACTGGTTCCTTGGCATTTGAGTATCTTCCGTTTACGGTGTTAACATGGACAATACAATTCATTTTTCTCATATGAGATATGAGATTTAAATTCACATTTATATATATTTATGCATATAAAAGTTGCATACTGATGGTTTAACTAAACAAAATATATATCTATTTCTAGTAAACTGTAAAAAATACCAATCGGTTTATTTAGGTTATATCATTAATAGGATGTGTTGACATCATAGTAGGATGGTTAATACATTACCATAAAACAAAGGAATAAAAATGTGGAACCAATTTCATTATATTAAACTTTATATTACAGTATACAAACTACCCTATAATTATTTCAATTTGTAAATATTTAAGTATCTTACTTAACTTTTTATATATTTGATATCTTGAATTGCAATATCTTTAAAATACTTTCGTATAACAAATATTTGTTAAATACAGTTGTTTACATTTCGATGCATTGTTAACCTTATCGCTATAGCTGCTCTGTCTGTTGCATAAATTAAAGGTTATTTCAATGACGTCATCCACTCTCACGCCCTCGCATAGATCACATTACCCGTACCTTGCGGCGTCGAGCTGTCAGTGGACGGCGCTGCACTTTACTCCAATCCTTAAACCTTCTTCTCGCTTTATTGGAGCGACGTCATTTCATTCACTGTATTCCTTTCATATCATGCAGCGTCATGCTTTTTACTACGAGTTCGTAAACAACAACCACACCACAATAATAACAACAACAACAGCGCCAGCAAGCACTAGAACTAATGCACTTGCAATACAGTTAGACAGAACAGTTAGTCAAGCATCCAACACGCGCGCGCCTTCTCTTCTTGGGCTACGGGTTGAGGTGGGGGCGGGGGTCCGCTCTGGAAAGCAAAGGCAAACACGCTGACTTTGCCATTCGCATTGGTGGTGGAAACAGCACGCAAAAAACACAAACACAATGCCCCAACAACGGTGTCAGTGGCAGTGGCAGTAGCAGTAGCAGTAGCAGTAGCAGTAGCCGCCCCTAACCCCGCCTGACCTTAACGTACGGCAGCAGCTGTCAATGTTATCGCAGTCAACGTCGCTGTCGCCGCGCAGTTGACGTCGCAGTCACTGTGGCCACGCTTAACTTTATTTTTAGTTGTGCATTGGAAGCGCCATGGGAAAGTGCTGCTACAGCAACAACAACATGGCGAACTTGTAACATTGTTATTGGAAATTTTGTAGGCTCCCAGCACCAAAAACAACAATAATAACAACAACAACAACAACAACTGTGACTACAACAACAACAACAACAAGAAGAACCTAAGGGTAGGCGCTGAAGGAAAGCGAAAACGTAAAGCAAAATTCCATTGAGGTTTTTTTTGAAATCGAAACGAAATTAGTTTTCGATGAACTTTAAACGCGAGTAAACAGCCGCTGCGGGCCACGTCGCACGGTCGCACGTGTCGCAAAATCCAAAATAAAAATACCAACAAATTAAATTGTGTAAATCATCGCAAAACCGATTCGAAATTCGTGGCACGCGGAATAAATTGTGCGAAATCGAGAGTGAAACTCGGCGAATGCCACAAATTTAAGCCCCAGAAGGCTGTGCTGCTAACAAAAAACAATAAAAACCAACCTTGAAAGCAATGTTAACCAAAGAAAAAAAAATCAAATAAATAGCAGAGAGAAAACAATTGCGCGAGTATGTGCGTGTTCGTTCGTGGGTGCAAAGACCACGGTCAAATCGTAATTGCAGACATTGAGTATTAAATAATTAAAAACTAGCCTGGTGAAGGTTAAACGTGTCACAATTTCAAAAATCGAATTTTAAAATCCACGGAAAGGTAAAAGTTCTAAACAAATGACACGCCAAAAAAACTGAAAATGCAAAAAATAAAATAAAATATATAACAAAGTGCACACAAAAGTGCGAAATCGCCAGATTTAAAAAAAAGTGAAATGAAAATGGTGAAAACAAGAAAATGGCTGCCAAAAATTGTTTGTGCGGGCGCCAGCCACGAAAATGCCAACAAAATTAAATCAAATCAAGGCATAAATCAAATTTTGGCTAGCCTAAAACTGCGCAAATCGCGGCGCCCGTTGGACGCTTTTGCATAGGGCCACCCACACACACACACACACACACACACACACACACGCACACGCACACGCCCACGCGCACACCTACAGCTGGCCCGCCTGGGCCATTTTCTTGCGTGGGCAGCAAAATAAATTATTCTTATTATTCTTAGTCCTATTATTGTTTTTATTTTATTTGGCATTTTGCTTTGCCGCTGAAGCGCGTAGGTGAAAACAAATAGAAGAAAGTTTACGATTTGTTTA